ATAAATTAGGGGTCCAAAGAATTTTGGCAAGTGTTAATAGTAGCACTCTTTAGTGAATTGGGCGGTTTTTGCACAACTCTACCTCCATTTACCTCCACTCACTTTATATAGAATAGAATAAATTTATATATAAATAAATTTTGTTGATGTGTGTTTAAGAATATTTGCTAAGATATAAAAATACTTGGCACATGAAATAATTAATTAAAGGTGACATTACATTTTTTATTTTTTTATTTTAACTTATCAACATATTCGTCCCAACTAATTTTGAGATGTATGTATTTCACATATACCAAGTAATTTCTGTCATTTGTATATTCTTGAGAATTTTCATACAACCTTAAAAAAATTAATGACCATATATGAGAGTTAAATGTTTTTTCCAAATTAAATATTTCAAGCTCTCTAATTTTCAAAAAAATAAATCATAAAAAGAAATCTAATTGTAACAATATATTCAATAGAAATCAAAATCCAAAATATTCAATAGAAGTAACCAAACACCAAATATATTAAAAAAAACATACATACAGATGTATGTATGTCTTTACAATTTAAGTGGTATTCAAAAAACATACACATCTTCCTTTCTTTGTCCTCTCTGTTTCTGTCTTCATTTCCTTTTCTCTTTCTTTTCTTAAGTTCTTAGAAGTCCTTTAATGACACTATTTTAACAGCCACAAAGACACTATTTTAGTTAAACATAAATATACTATTTTATACCCAATTGTATGCAGGGGTGCGGGTGGGGGTGAGTGTATGCACACAAAGACCCACACGAAAAATACACTAACAAAAGTGAATCAAAATACACCAAACCCACCAAACTAAATATTAGACCAAAAAAATTCAAAGAAAGAAATGAGAGGAATATGGGGTTTAGGGTTGGGTAGAGAGAGAAAGTAAGATAATAACTTATTCTTCAAAGCTTGACAACAATAGCAACCACTTCACCTCTCTCTAACACTTTTACACTCACTACTCTCATAATCATTCTCTCATCGCCGTTGTCATCATGCGTCGTCGTTGGGAGTAGAGACCATTACGAACACCAACTGATGGGGTAAGATGCTAAGAATGCGAGAACCGGATGTCGAGAAACCATCGACGAATGGGTTGGGCTCCGATGGAATGAAAGAGTATGGGACAAAGAGTGAGATGTAGAGAGAGAGAGGAGGGCTGTATTTGTAAGAGAGATGAAGGACTTCTGTCGTTGTGGAGGGAAGAAGATGAGAGATAGAGAAAGAGAGGGAGATGAGAGGCCCCGTTTGTTTGGAGAGTTAGAGGGGGGATTGGGATTAGTAGTGAGGTGAGACCCACTAACTTTGTGTTTATTTTGAGAGATGGAGAGGGGATTGATAGTGAGCTCCGGATTCGGATGGGCCTCCCCAAGGGAATTTAGATGGGCTTCCAAGACTTGGTATTAGAAAAATAGTCTGCCGGATTAGAAATTTTTTATTTTTATTTATTTTTTATTTTATTTTTTACATATTGGGAATTTTTTTTGAACATTAATGTTTAATTTTTTGTATTTTTTGTTAAGTAAAAATCATTATTTTATTTATTTTATTTTATTTGGAATTTTTTTATTTATTTTTATTTATTTTTAAATTTTTTACATGTTGGGCATTTTTTTTAAAACATTAATGTTTAATGTTTTTGTAATTTTTTTTATTTGATTTATTGTTTTTTATTTATTTTATATAAAAATAATTTAACAATCCCTACACTAATAACTATCATCAAAATAAACACAATATTTTATTTAATCTCCTCATTATCAATCCCCTCACTATTAATCTCCTTATTATGAATCCCCTCAATTCTACCTCTGAAAACAAACAAGGCCAGAGAGTAATTGAATGATTAAAGAGGAGAGACGTGGTGAGATAAGAGAGGACAGATGGCGAAAAACATATTTTGGACCAAATAAATCTGACCATCAATTTTGTTGATGAAATGATCTAAACCATTGATGATGGTGTGTAGGACAAAATTCTATACATTTTCAAAAATTATTTTGCCATGTTATTTATACTATATATTAAGCAAAATGGAGTTTTTAACCCCAAGGCCTGTGGGAGTTTCAATATCCTAATCTGAATTTTCTAAGTTTTTTATTAAAAAAATAAAAATAAAATTAGCATTTATTGATTTGGTCAAAATTCTCTGATTAGCATTTATTAACTGTTTTCAATCCACATGTCTTTTCACATGCCTGCATTTATTGATTTGGTCAAAATTCACTGATCAGCATTTAAAATTTCCCTTACAAATAATTATAGATACCTTTTTCAACTTCTCCCATATACTATGGTTAGTGATAAGATTGTTAAATTATTTTTATAAAAAATCTTAAAAAACATAATTTATATACTAAAAAAATTTAAAACAAATATAAATATCTATAATTATTCCGTGCATAGCACGAGTGATAGGCTAGTATAGATATATATATATATATATATATATTTTAAATTAAAATGTTTAAAGCAATGAGAAGCAGAACTTAATTATTAAAGTGCATTTAGAGCTATCCTATTTTCGTCATTTCCATTTCTATTGACACTTTAAGAAAGTTTCCATCTTTTGGATATTCCATTATACAAAGTAATTTTTCCAAATTTTAAAAGATAAAATCAACTTTTATTCTTCCTCTTTATTTTTTGGGTGTTTTTTTTAATCTTCCTTTGAATGTTACCAAACAGGTGGGGTCGGCAGTAGCGCAAATAATTAGCTACGACAAAACCATTACAGCAATGCTAGGTATCATAAAAATTTTGTCATGAAAATAATCATGAAAGCTTGGTGACCCTTGGATTACATTTAAAATAAAACACACACACTAATCAAGGTAATCTAAGAATCATAAATCTTTCATGATCATTTTCATGACAAAATTTACATGATCCCTAACTTTTTCCAAACCATTAAACGTCAAACAAAAAGCCGTCACCAAGGATCCTCTAGAGTGAAATTTTCCTAAAGTTTTCTAGAGTGTTACATTGTGTGGTTGAGATTTATTGGCAAGTCACATCAGAAAAATTGATGTGACTTGCCAGTAAATCTCAACCATACAATGTAGCACTCTAGGAAACTTTAGAAAAAAATCACTCTAGAGGATCCTTGCTCAAAAGCCGTAACATTTTTCCCTTCTTGGGTACCTCCTCCACAATCCCCTGACCCTCGATTTCCCCTCAAGATTTCATCCAACGGTCATCCTTCCTCACCTACTCAACAATCCAATCCCATTACTGTACCTCCCCAAATTCAAACCATATCCTTAAAAAAAACTAAAAAAATAAAATTACGCCGTATTTACGGAACCTGCCATGAAAGCTCGCTTTCATCTATATCCAATCTCTCCATTCCTCCAATCTTACAAAAAAAAAAAAAAAAACAAAAAACAAAAAAAACAAAAAAAAAAACCCTCTCCATGTATCTTTTGTATGGACTCTCATCCAAACTCACTTTAATTTGAATTGTTTATTTTATAAATTTTGTATTAAAAACTCTTTTACAAAGTGTCAAAAAAGCCAATTTATTAATTTATATGAATTATATCATTTCTATATTTTTATTTATCTTTTTGTAATAAATAAAAAGTTAATTTTTTTTGACACTTTCTAAAATAATCCTAAATGCTATTCATGCAAAAAAATTAAGTACATCAAATAACTGTAAACATAGGAACTATAAGTACATGAATAAATAATATGTTATTTTATAAAATACAAACTCAATTTAATTTGAATTATTTATTTTATAAATTTTGTATTAAAAATTCTTTTACAAAATGCCAAAAAAGCTAATTTATTAATTTATATGAATTATATCATTTCTATATTTTTATATGTCTTTTTGTACTAAATAAAAAGTTAATTTTTTTGACACTTTCTAAAATAATCCTAAATGCTAGTCATGCAAAAAATTAAGTACATCAAATAACTGTAAACATAGGAACTATAAGTACATGAATAAATAATATGTTATTTTATAAAATAAATAATTTAAATTTATAATTGTATTTGTTATTTATTTTATAAAATAAAATGTGATTTATTTTTTTGTTTATAAATGTTTGATGAAACTAATTTTTTTGTATGAATAATCTTTATTACAAAGCATATAAGGTGTTCGAACTAAAGCCCAAAAGAGGATTACGGAGAGATATTGGACTACTTGTTACAGCTTAAATGAACTAATTATAACTTATTTTAATTTGAGAATATGAGTCAGATTGGAGATGTATATTACAATTTAAAATAGATGATTTTAATTTAGAAGTATGTGTCATTCGGTGCAACTTTTACTTATAGATTATTAAGCAAAAATAACTTAAATAAGTTAAAAAATTAAATTTTTTGAAGTTGAAGGAGAAATGATTTTAACTACTACTTTTTGATTATTAATTTTTAGTTTATAATAATCTACATTAAACAAAATGTAACTTCTGTTTATAACTTATTAAATACTTGACTTATATTTTTTGATAGATCTTACTAACAAGTGTCTATAAGTTATAAGTAAAATACAAGAATAAAATAAAGAACACAACACTCATTTTGCTAAATTCAATTCAATTTTATTGAAATAAATATATATATTTTTAACATTTTTTTTATATTTTGATGATACCTTTTATATAAGGAGCACTCATTAACATTTTGGCCTCCTTTCGAAACATGATATTTTAATAATTTTTAATTTTTTAGATAAAACATAAGGTAAAAAAATAATATATTTAAAACAATTTTTTAAATTTTTACCAAAAGATATGTAAAAAATATAGAAAAATAAAATTTTTAATTTTTTAATATAAGTTATAATTTTTTTTAATTTTTTATTTTTTAGGTTAAAACAGAAACATGCCCAACAAAGCCTTAATTATCCACTTTGCCAAACAGGGCCCAGGTACATCCCCACATTCATGTATATGTGTATGTACACTGTATGTGTACATATTATCTCGGACCGTCTTTGTTTTTTTTTTTTTTTTGAACTAGTATCTCGGACCGTCTGACAATCATAAAATCGTGATGTATATAATCTCCTCACCATCAACATCTTCATCATCGACGACTGCACTTTTTAGAGCTTCTTCTAGGGTTCGATTCCTATCTTCTCTCTCTTCATTTTCATTTTCTCTCTCTAGAACTTCTTCACTTTCGTTCCCTCGGGCTTCGCCTTTTTCGATCAACTGCCGATCACTCTATCTCCGGCATTCGGTCCCCCGGTGGAGTCCTAGGTCTCAGATCAGAGCTTCCGCTCCTGTGATCGAACGATTCGAGCGAAAGATCTCTACTATGGGTATAGTTTTGGTTCTTCGCATTTTTTTTGTTCAATCATTTTGCTTGATTTCATTTTGAACATTCAATCTGTGTTTGAAAATGGGTGTGGATTTGATTCTTCTATTGTAAATTAGTTGTTCAAATGGATAAACTTGCTTTATGTTTGTGTTTTCTGATTAGGCTTTTCAAGATATGTAAAGGGTTTGTTTGTTTATTTATTTATTTATTTTTTATTTGTAGGGTGTAATTGAACCAGTTACATTGATTTTCATAGTCTTTGTCGGTCAATGGATTCTGGGTTTGTGACAATTTTGTGATATCATCCTTGGTTTTTTTTCTAAAATTTAACCTATTTTTTTATTTTTAGATGACAGTGGCATGTTTTAGTGTTACTGTTCTCATATAATTTTGTTATTTCTAGCTACAGTGCTATATTAGTTATTCTTTAATTTGAATCCGGCCTTATTTGTGAACATGCTATTTTATGACTAAAATATGAGGTGGAAAAATTAATATGGTTGTGATATTTTTGACTTTTTATAAAGGGATGTGTAAAAGGTAAAGAAAAAAAAAAATTTATTGTTGGCTTTTTAATTTTTTTTTAATGACTTTTAACTTTTAGGCTAAAAGATTAGTTTAAGGCCTCAGTTGGGAACATGCTTTTTTTTAGTAACTTTTTAGTTTTTTTGGCTAAAATATGATATAAAAAAAATTAGTACGTTTGATATGACTTTTTGATTTTTTACAAAAAGATAGTGCAAAAGACAGAGAGAATAAAATTTTTATAGGTTGTTTCCAAAGTAACCTTTTTAGCCTAAAAGCTAAAAAGTCATTAAAAAAATCAAAAGGCTAATAAGCTATACCAGAAAGTCAAAGATTCTCTTTTTTTTAAACTTTTTGCACTTCTTTTCGTCAAAAATCAAAAAGTCATCTTAAACATACTAGTTTTTTTTATATCATATTTTAGTCAAAAAAAAAAAAATCAAAAAGTTACTAAAAAAGCCTATTTCCAAACAACGAAGCCTGTAATTCTTCAAATTTGCATTGTAGAGTCATGGACTATTGTTCAGGTCATGGCTGTTGGTCAATAGTGAGTCTTGAATTCTAATATATCCTTTTATCATTCCATTCAGCTTCTGAAAACCCTTTCAAGGGAATCTTTACCAGTCTTCCCAAACCTGGAGGCGGTGAGTTTGGAAAATTCTACAGCTTACCCGCTCTGAATGATCCAAGGATCGGTATGTATTTTTAAATTCTGCATTTTACTGACATATTGTTAGTAGGGTTTTGCATCATGCTATGCTCTGAATATATTTTTACTTTGTTTTTAATATTGGACTAATGTTACTATTTACAGAAATGTTTATGTTTTAGATGTTTCAAAATTTAGAACTAAATTGTAATTTGTTGTTTGTAATCTTCTTTGTGGTAAACTTATTTCCTTGACCAATGACTGTTGTCAGTATGCGGCATTTTTCTTCTTAAGTGGCTTTTTATCATATTTGACTTGAGAAATAAATAGCATAATGAATTCTACACGATAAATATTGATGGAGTTTGATAATTGAAATTCATCGTCTATTGTTTTCTTATTGGAAAATGTATTTCTTTTCTTTGGTTGTTTAATGTTTTCAATGAGGAACAACATAAATCGAATCATTTTGGTTGAAACTCGTATCAAATCATATGAATCGAATTCTGAAAAGCAAGATTCTAACAACCATAGGTCCATAACTATACCTGATAAAGTTTAAGCAACCACATAGAAAATGTATTCTACAGGGATTATTGCCGTTGTTAAGCTCACTAGTTTTATTCTTCTTTTTGGGTATCTTTCCTTGATTAGTAATTTCTTCTTACATCTTGTGGTGCATTGCAGACAAGCTTCCCTACTCTATCAGGATACTTTTGGAATCCGCAATAAGGAATTGCGACAATTTCCAAGTTACTCAGGATGATGTGGAGAAGATCGTTGATTGGGAGAATACTTCACCAAAGCAAGTTGAAATTCCCTTTAAGCCTGCCCGTGTTCTCTTACAAGTAATACCATTAGCTTGGTGATGACTTAGCTTTATGCATTATTCCATTTTTAAAAGCTTTGTCTGTTTGTTAGGATTTCACTGGAGTTCCAGCTGTGGTTGACCTTGCTTGTATGCGGGATGCAATGAACAACCTTGGAGGTGATTCTAACAAGATCAATCCCTTGGTATGTAATTTTCACTATTATTTGAATGTTGTTTTTATTGCTTAATGCTATTTCAGTTATCAGCAATGTGTGCTGACTCCATCTAGAAACTTTACTGTTTCATGTAAGCTCATTGAATATATTGTTTTATCATATGCAATTAGCATGTTAATTTTTTTGAACTAGCTTACCTGTCTACAAGAGTAGTGCGCTCGATCTCCTTCAACAGTTTATGCACTATGTCATGAATAGAGGACTTCCCTTTGCATCTTACAGTGTGAATAGTTATCACTCTTTTCTCACATCATGTGTTCTAAGAAAAATGTTGTGTCCAGGTTCCAGTGGATCTTGTCATTGACCATTCTGTTCAGGTTGATGTGGCAAGAAGTGAAAATGCAGTGCAGGCAAATATGGGGCTTGAATTTCAGAGAAACAAGGAGAGGTTTGCTTTTCTTAAGTGGGGTTCAAATGCTTTTCACAATATGCTCGTTGTTCCTCCTGGTTCTGGTATTGTCCACCAGGTAAGACTTTGGCATCATTAGCGCATCAAGGATATTTCTGTTTCTAGATGTTATATTGTTGTTAAGAAAAATTCTCATGGCAAGGTGCAAGAATTCGATCTTAAGGTGGTATAAATGGTTTCCTCGTAAAAGGGCCAAAACATTAGATAGGCATAGGCTCAATACATGAGGTTTGCAATGTTTAACTATTTGTGGGGCTTCTGGAGTAAAGCCACATTTACCTCTAGCCTCTTGTAAATCATAGTCCAAGTTTTCTCCTTTTTTTAGCTCTATAATACTATTTGGTAGGTTTGGCATTTAGCAAGTGACTGGTAATTTTCAGGTTAATCTTGAATACCTTGGACGGGTTGTTTTCAACACAAATGGCATTCTGTACCCTGATAGTGTGGTTGGAACTGATTCCCATACAACTATGATTGATGGCTTAGGAGTTGCTGGCTGGGGAGTCGGAGGAATTGAAGCAGAGGCTACAATGCTTGGCCAGGTATTTTGAGATAAATATGTATTTTCTTTATGATTTTTCATATGCTGGCTGTTAGTGTTTGCACTTATTCTTTGGTAGACAGACATGCATGAAATGGGTAGCTGTTTTCTCTTCTTTTTATTTTTTTTAATCTCCTTTCTTTTTTCCCCTCTAATGTGTAATCTGCATTTGACAGCCCATGAGCATGGTTTTGCCTGGTGTTGTTGGGTTCAAATTATCTGGAAAATTATGCAATGGTGTCACAGCAACTGATTTGGTTTTGACTGTGACCCAAATGTTGAGGAAGCATGGTGTTGTCGGCAAGTTCGTTGAATTTTATGGTAATTTTAGTATTTTAGTTTTAATATTTTGTTAGGAAATTTGGTTGCTTCATATCCATTTCATTTATGTATTTGACCCTAATTTCTTTTATATCCATTTCATTTATGTATATGACCCTAATTTCTTTTTTTATGTGGATATAGGCGAGGGTATGGCCAAATTATCATTGGCTGATAGGGCCACTATTGCAAATATGTCCCCCGAGTATGGAGCAACCATGGGTTTCTTCCCTGTAGATCATGTCACATTACAGTATCTTAATCTAACTGGAAGGAGTGAGGAGACTGTGCGTTTCTTTTTCTAGTTTCTTTTTTTTTTCCATTTTTTCTGTGGTATATTTGTATTTTGGATTGTTTATATAATTTTATTGATAAAATAATTATTAGGTGGCAATGATTGAAGCTTACTTGCGTGCAAACAACATGTTTGTTGATTACAGTGAGGTAGAAAAAAGTTTATTGCTCATTTTGTTATTTTCCTCTATGTATGTATTTCATCTTGGCACTCTTAGATCTGAGGCTGATGGGATGATTTCAATATCCAGCCTCAACAAAATAGAGTATACTCATCAAATCTGGAGTTGGACCTAGCAAATGTAGAGCCCTGTCTTTCAGGACCAAAAAGGTAATGCTTTATATTTGGTGCTGACACCAAATGCGTAGCAGATTGATGTACGCTTATAGGGATTGTTCTTTCTTATTTTTAACAGGCCTCACGACCGAGTTCCCCTAAAAGACATGAAGGCTGATTGGCATTCGTGTATTGAAAACAAAGTTGGATTCAAGGTAAGATGCCATTGCTGGGATTTGCCACTCAATTTTGGTTTTCCAGATTGTGGTTCTGCTCACATTACTTGCTGCTTGTCTTTAAGAGTGACACATAAGCATTGCATATCAATTACATTTGTGGTTGAGTTGCGATGTCAGGTGCATTAGCTGTTTCTTTTCTTCTGATTTTATTACATTTCAAATTCCTTCAGGGCTTTGGTGTACCCAAGGAACAACATGACAAAGTTGCAAAGTTTTCATTCCATGGACAGCCTGCTGAGCTCAAGCATGGTAGTGTGGTCATAGCTGCCATCACAAGCTGCACAAACACATCTAACCCTAGTGTCATGCTTGGAGCTGGTCTTGTTGCAAAGAAAGCCTGTGAGCTGGGCTTGGAGGTTGGTATTGGCTCTCAAAATGCATTGTATTCCTTACTATAATGCATGTGGAAATGCATGTGATGTACACAGTGACTCATTAGATGAGAAAAAATAGAGGCAAAATCCGTTTTACCCTGTATGGTTTTGACCTTCGAGTGCCCTACCCGCTACCAAGGCACCACCAACACACATTCATTTTTTGTGAAAACCAACAATCCCAATCCCAATTCCGAATTTCAACTATTTGTTTTCCCAAACAAATAGTTTTATAACTGTGGATTCACAAATTTTATTTTCTTTTTTTTTCTGAAGTTGCTTCCCAATTCCCAAAGGATTGTTTATTTACTAACGGGGTAGAAGTATTTGCTACAGAAACTTGAGTCAATTAGCTTATTTAGCAAGTTACATGGCCACATGCGTGTATATCATGTATGCAGATGCATGTTATGTGCTTAATAGAGATGGTGGTGTTGGCTGACCTTATTGGTGAAGAAGATTCTCTTCTCAGGAAGAGGGGGTTGCATGGGAAGGGAGACGGTGTGGCGGTGGCAGCTGCTACTCCTCCTTGGTTAGGGATCAGGTTTCGTTTGAGTTAGGTTTTCAAATTGGTTAAGAGAAGATGAAAACAAGGGTATAATTGTCTTTTTGTGTTGAGATTTGATTTTGAAAAACTTCTTATTTTTTATTTTTGATGCCAACTCATCAATTAGGTGTGTGGTCATAATTCCTGTAAGTTTGGAATGGATTCGTAACAATAGCAGTTTGGTCCAAAACCATATGAAGCCATTTTATTTATTTTCAACGGATTTAAAAATTAAAAAAAAAAAAATGTCATCTGGAATTTAACCTTATTTGTAATGATCGATGAAACAGGTTAAGCCATGGGTAAAAACAAGCCTGGCCCCAGGTTCTGGAGTTGTAACGAAATATTTACTACAGAGGTACTGGTTGCAACAGTTGGATGATATTATTAGTTCAAGTTAATTCTTTGAATGCATATCATGTTTATATCAGGTACTGAATTTTGTCTCTGCCTTTGGTGTCTGTAGTGGCCTGCAAAAATACTTTAACCAGCAGGGCTTCCATATTGTTGGCTATGGCTGCACAACGTGTATAGGGAATTCAGGGGATCTCGATGAATCAGTTTCTTCTGCAATTACGGACAATGGTATAATTCTTTTTTATGCTTCTATGTTTCATTTAAAATAACAATATGGTTTTTCAAGACACTTGGATTTGAAATGGATATGAAACATGTCCAAAAATAAATTCCAGAGAAAAGTAATAAAATAATGGTGAGTTACACTAATTTCCCTTGAGGTGTAGAGAAAATACGAGAAGTCCCACAGTTTTGGCATAATACATTAGGTTTCCTTCAGACTTTAATTCACATTACACTCAGCCCCCATTTCATCATTAATTTGTTAGTCATATATGGAGAGAAAAATGATCTTGTCATCACTTTCACATTGAAATGTATATATTTTTTTATTTATCCTTGTGTCTTCAAACCACCTGCATTAGGTTTAAACAATTCATAGATCATTCATAAGAAAGAAATCAACTAGAAGAGTTACAGCTTAAGAGTTTTGATATTTTTTTTTTTGGAATTAGTTTTACTTTTTGTTAATTTTGATTTTTGTGTGTAATAATAATCTACATAGCTAGGAAGCATAGATACGGATACGAGATACGTATACGGCGATACGACAAAACCTAAAAAAATAGGATAAGGGTACGGTTAGGATACGATTGTGGAAAATATATTTTTTAAAATTATTAATAGTGAGTTACACATAAGCTAAAAAATGTTAAGAAATCACAATATAATTTTATAATGCACAATACTATCCTTTAAGAATTTTATATTAATTTAAGCTAGTAGCTTGTTTACTTTTTAAATTTTTTATAGGTCTTGCAAATATTTCATTTCAGTATCAAGTTTAATATATTTATATTACAATAATAGAACAATTCACAACTTGTCCCTATGCTTTTTCCTTTGACACTAGTGAAAAATATTATATTCAAGTTTACTTGCTTATTTATTTATTGATATTTAATTTTACCATTGTTATATTCTTTTGTTAATTCTTAGTTTCTATGTAGTTATAGGGGACATGCAAGAAATAATTAGGATACATCAATTTGATAAATTCTATTATTTAACTCACTATGCTCTTCTTATCGAAGAACTTAACAAAGTATTAGAAAAATATTCTTATATTTATACTTGCGATTATATTACATTCTATTACTATGCAATAAATGTTACAATTCTAATTTCATAAAACAAGTAAACATGACTTAGTATCCGATACTTCAAAATTAAGTATCCGATACTCTAAAATTAATGAAAAATTAATTAAGAAGTATCCGATACTTTTAATAAGTATCCAATACGTATCCGCGAGTATCCAAGGAGTATCGGTATCCGATACGGATACGATATGGATACGTCACCCTATTTGAAGTATTCGTGCTTCATAGCTACATAGCAAACTTTTTTTTTTATTTATTGTCGTGTCCCCAATTTTTTTGAAATTACCATGTCCCGTGTCCGTGTCCGTACTTCTTAAGTGAAATTGTTTCAAAAATTTAGTTAATTTTTATAAAGAGTTTTAACTTTACTATGTGTCTTGTCCAGTGGCTTATGTGTGTAAGTTACTGAAGAGTATTGTATATTCAAATTGTGTATTGATTACATCAAGACCTTAGTTTATATAATTCTAACGCCTAAACCAAACAAGGAAATGCAACCATACTATCTAATATATACACAATCATGCCTAATATTATATACACAATCATGCCTAATATAGACGAGTATATTCTCACATCTCCGCTCAAACTCAAGGTGTTTTAGTCGAAAAAACAAAGAGTTTGTCAAGAAGAAATCGAAAACGAGCAATGGTGTTAGTCTTGGTGAAGAAGTCAGCAAGCTGTAGAGCCGAAGGGACAAAAGGAAGCAAGATAGGACCAGACAGTAAGTGTTGATGGATGAAGTGACAATCAATCTCAACGTGCTCTATTCGTTCATGGAAAACAGTGTTATGGGCAATCTGAATAGTATTTCGGTTATCACAGTAGATAGAGGTCGGAGAGGATTGAGGAATGCCTAACTCAGAAAAGAAACAACGAAGCCAGACAACCTCAGCAAAACATGAGCCATAGCACGGTACTCAGCTTTGGCAGTAGAACGGGCAACAACAGTTTGTTTCTTGCTTTTCCAAGAAATCAAGGAATCACCAAGAAGTAGACAGAAATCAGAAGTGGACTTACGATCAGTAACATCATTAGCCCAATCAGTATCTATCAGCATAAGCCACAAAATCCAAGGAAGAAATAGAAGACAACAAGCAGCCTTGGAAGATAGTACCGCGGAGATGGCGAAGAATCCTAACCAAAGCAGCCCAATGCAGAGAGCGAGGAGCAAAAACGAACCGGCTAATCACATGAACAACATAGGCAAGATCAGGGCGAGTAACGGTCAGATAGACTAAATAGCCCACAAGCTCGCGATACAAAGTCAGATCATCCAGTGGGACACCATCAGTAGTGTTAAGCTTCACATTAAGCTCAATGGAAATATCAGAAATTTTAGTGTTAGTAAGATTGACACGGTGAATAACCTCATTGGCCGTTGGGAGAAGAAGCGACCTCAATACTAAGAAAATACTGCAATGGTCTTAAATCCTTCATTTCGAAAGTGCGGAAGAAATGCTGCTTGACCTCAGAGATAGCAGAAGCGTCAGAGCCAGTAATGATCATAGCATACATATACAGTAATAAGGAAACAAAACCAATAGAGATGTGTAGGAGAAACAAGGCAGAGTCTTGGTCACACGGATGAAACCCAAGTTCAGAAACCACGGTTTAAAAACGATCATACCAAGCACGAGGAGATTGCTTCAAACCATACAGAGCACGCCAAAGACCACAAACAAGACCAGAGGAATGAAGAAGACCAGGGGAAGGACGCATGTAAACCTCCTCAGATGGCGATTAAGAAAAACATTCTTAACATCCATCTGATAAAGAGACCAATGATGAACAGAGATCAAAGTACAAAATGTAGTCATCTTGGCAACAGGGGCAAAGGTCTCTTCAAAATCAATACATACTCCTATGAGAAACCTTTGACAACTAAGCGAGCTTTGTAGCGAACCATCAGAGTGAGTCTTGACTTTGTAGACCCATTTGCAACGAATCAGATTCTTACCAGCAGGCAAAGGAACTAACTCCAAAGTTCTAGTTTTCTACAAAGCAGAAAACTCATCCTCCGTAGCTCGAATCCAAAGAGGATCCTGACAGGCCTCCCTGTAAGACTGAGGTTTTGAAAAAGAATGAATAGCAGACAAAAAAAATATGATAGGAAGTAAAAAAACATGTATTAGATCAACCCAACCTGTTTGGAGGATGACGCTCTCGAGTAGGATATCGGTGTGTAGCAGGATCAGAGTCTTCAGAAGCAGAAGAGGCAGCAACCGGGGTAGAGACAACTAGTGGAGGGGGAGCTTTGCGACGAGAATAGACTAACAACGGAGGAGGAGGAGGAGAAGCCGAATGAGGAAAAGTAGCCAAAGGGGAAGATGGAACAAGTTTAGGAGGAACAATCGTCAGACGGGATCTCAGAAGGAAATGGGTCAATGAGAACCAAATCCGCTTTTGAAACTGGAGCAATGAGAGGGGAAAGCTGAAAGTAAGACAATCGTTTCAAGAAGGCAACATGACGGGAGACATAAAGTCGGCGGGAAATAGGATCGTAACAACGATAGCCTTTCTGAGTAAGACTGTAACCCAAAAAGATACACAGGACAGAACGAGCACTAAGTTTTGTCTAATCTTTCTGAGGAAAGAAGGACGAAGCATGCAGACCCAAAAACACGAAGGAGAGAGTAATTGGGAAGTTGGGAAAATAGAGCCTCATAAGGAGAACAACCAGAGAGTAGGGGGGTAGGCATACGGTTGAGAAGAAAAGTAGTTGTAAGAATTGCTTTCCCCCAAAAGGGAGCTAGAACAGAGGCAGAAAGAAGGAGAGATCTAGCTGTCTCGAAGAGATGACGGTGTTTACACTCAGCACGACCATTTTGGGCAGTGTATCGGTACAGGAAGTTTGATGAATGGTACCTAAAGTGGTCAAATACTCACATAACTCAGTTTTAAAATACTCTCCACCTAAGTTAGACCGTAACAATTTAATGGTAGCCCCAAACTGTGTAGTGATCGTAGACTAAAATGTACGGTATAGTTGGTAGAAGTCAAATTTATGAGTCATAAGATAAACCCAAGTATAGCGAGTGTAATCATCAACAAAAGATACATAGTAGCCGGAACCCCCTTTAGTGAGAACAGGAGAGGGTCCCCAGACATCAGTATGCACAGAGAAAATGGAGAAACAGAAATAGAAATATTTTTATTAAATGGTAAAGCAAATACTTTGGCAAGTTTACACCCCCGACATTCATCAATTTGACTAGGAGAAACTTTACCCAACACTCTGGACTGAGCTAAAGACCGTAAGCGGTCAACAGACAAATGACCTAGGCGAGAATGCTATAAATAAAACTGACTCAACTGAAAATCTAACTGAAACAAGGAAAGTACAACTGGAGAGGTGGATAAAGGGAGATGCAAACTTTCTACCACATAGAGGTCTCCAACTCTATGGTCGATCCTAATTTGCTTCTTAGACACCCGATCCTACACACAACAGACAGAAGAAGAAAAGATAACATCAAAATCAGAAGCATCAAGTTGACTGATAGATAATAAACTTATAGATAGTTGAGAGACATAAAGAATAGAGAAAATAGTAACAACAAACATAGTAGAGGGTAAAACATGCCCAATAGACAAAACTGACATATCAGACCCATTAGTTGTATTAATAGTAATAGGAGCGGGTGAGGGAATACAGTTTTGAAGTAAGGACAGGTGAGAAGTCATATGATGAGAGGCATCAAAATTAAAAAGCCAAATAGAAGCAACAATACTTGAAGAAGATCCAAGCAAACATGAATGAAAAGAGGTAAGAGCAGAGGCAGATGGGGATGACTGAGAGATAGATAGGATATGCTGAAGTTGAGCAAGCTAAGCACTCAAGGAAGCCAAGTCAGGATCTAAAGTCAAAGCAGATGCAGTATAAGCAGCAGGAGGCCGAAAGGTACTTGGAGCAGGATTGTGGAGTTGTGTCTTAGGTGGCTAGAACTGAGCAGGCTGACATCCCTTCTTGGGACAGTTGTACTTCCAATGACCCCTTTAGTGGCAGAAAGCACACTCATTTGGACCTAATGGCCCCTTTTGGGCTTTGCAGCTTGAAGCTGATGATGAGAAGGGGTTGATAACAAAGGAGGCTTAGCAAGAGCCAAGAAGACAGAGGGAGGTAGAATCTGACTGGTCGTCTTAAGACAGGTTTCCTCGGAGAGGAGCTCATGAACAATAGCATCCACAAAGGGAAAAGGAGACCGATAAAGGATGCCACCATGGATAGCCTCATACTGAGCGGAAAGAGCCGTTAAGAACTGCATTAAACTACCTTGCTCTTGAAACTCAACATAAGTGTCTAGTACCTTGAGGTTAGGTGGTTCCATGAGAGCTAATTGATCCCAGAGACCTATCATCTCAATATAGAAATCCTGAATAGTCTGGTCCCGTTGACGAGCTGTGACGAGCACTCTGAATAGCTGTGACGAGCACTCTGAATAGCTGTTTCCAACTCATACCGCTTGGCAAAGTTGGACTGCTGATAAATACTCAGTAAATAATCTCACACCTTCTTGGTAGAACTGTATTTAAAAAATATCATTCTAACATGGTCATCCACAGAATTATAAATTAGGTTAGAACTTGGGCATTATCATAATCCCAAGTATCACAGGAAACACCTAGTAAATAATCTCCTATTTCCTTGGCAGTACTGTATTTAGAAAACATCATTCTAATACGATCATCCACAGAATTATGAAACCAGGTCAGAACTTGGGCATTATCACAATTCCAAGTATCACAGGAAGTCAAATATCTTTCTGCCTTTGGGGCCAATGGACGAGGAACAAAACCAGAAACATAACCCCATTTTTTTTTTTTACTAAAAAGAAAATTCTTCATAACACTAGCCCAATAGACATAATTGTCATCAGTGAGTTTTCACTTGATGGCTTGGTTTTTAGTGTATGACATTATAATAAAACACGGTTATTAGAATTAATGGGTCAAAATTATAATATTCATAAAGTGCTGTGCTGGGGTCAAATAGAAATAAACCTAAACGAGGTTTAAAGTGTATTAGCCCAAACAACCAGAGATCCTACGAGTAGAGATAGCCCAATAAGAGAAGACCAGAGGTGTTGCGACTCTAGAACCAGAGAGAGCACAATCGGGAAAGAGAAGGCGACTCTAGAGCCAAAGAGAAAAGGCGACTCTAGAGAGAGAGAGCACAGCCGAGTCGCGACCACGGCTGCGATTTCAGATTGAGGTCGTCTGATGGCCACGGAGGTTGTCGATGGCCACGAACCAGAGATTTAAACCAAAATGAAATGGTTGATTTGAACTCAGATGAGGACTAGGGTTTCGAATGCGGCTCTGATGCCATGCAAGTTCCTGAAGAGTATTGTATATTCAAATTGTGTATTGATTATATCAAGACCTTAGTTTATATAACCCTAACGCCTAAACCGAACAAGGAAATACAACCAGGAAAGGAAATACAACCATACTACCTAATATATACACAATCATGCCTAATATTATATACACAATCATGCCTAATATAGACAAGTATATTCTCACAATGTGTACTTTCTGTTGCTGCTTTTTCCCCCCTCTAGATCATTTGTGGTTTCTTCTGCAGATATTATTGCAGCTGCCGTGCTTTCTGGAAACCGAAACTTTGAAGGTCGTGTTCATCCACTTACAAGAGCTAACTATCTTGCTTCACCTCCGTTGGTTGTAGCTTATGCACTTGCTGGCACGGTATGTAGACAATTTTTTTTTATAGAGATCCATTAAATACCTTATTCCCAGATTTTTCACTTCCTGGTGTTAAAAAGGATGATCAAATTAAACTATCCAGTTGTGGACTCCACTACTCTTTGATGGGTGTTCTTATTTTTTAGTCAATTTGGGTCCTAGTCAGCCAACGTCGTCTAATAAGATGACTAAGCTGATGCCGTTTGCTCACTATTTTGCTTTTACACAAGGAGAGTTTGTGGATGCTTTTATTTCTTAGTCAATTTCGGTCCTAGAATAAGTTGATATAAAGTCTGGGAAAGGTTAAACATTTTCCCTCGCTTTGGGGTTGCTGTTGTTCTTCCATGCATCTAAGTGGCCAATAATTTTTTGCAGAAGCCCTACAAACACAAACCTAAGCATTTTTTTTCCAGATATGGACATGAATGCTTTTCAATACTATATTTGGCTTGTTTCTCTACAGGGAAATAACTAAAGACTAGTGAATCATTGTTCCTTTGGGACTTGCATTTTCAGGTAAACATCAACTTCGACAAGGAACCGATTGGAACTGGAAAGGATGGGCAAAGTGTATATTTCAAGGATATCTGGCCTAGTAATGAAGAAATTGCAGAGGTATATGGTTTGGGAGGTTTTTTTGCTTTTACTTAAATGTCATAGCCCTTTATTAGTTATATTATATTTATTTGAGAACCAATGCTTTCATAGGTGGTTCAATCTAGCGTGCTCCCTGAAATGTTCAAGAGCACTTATGAGGCTATCACAAAGGGCAACCCCATGTGGAATTCGCTATCTGTCCCTTCTGCAAGTCTTTATGCTTGGGATCCAAACTCAACCTACATTCATGATCCCCCATATTTCAAGGGCATGACTATGGATCCACCAGGTCCTCATGGAGTGAAGGATGCCTACTGCTTGCTCAACTTTGGTGACAGCATTACGACTGATCATATTTCTCCAGCTGGGAGTATCCACAAGGACAGTCCTGCTGCAAAATACCTGCTTGAGCGTGGGGTTGATCGCAGGGACTTCAACTCCTATGGTAGCCGTCGTGGCAATGATGAGGTAATGGCAAGGGGCACCTTTGCTAATATCCGCATTGTCAACAAGCTCTTGAATGGAGAAGTTGGCCCAAAGACCATTCACATTCCAACTGGGGAGAAGCTCTCTGTCTTTGATGCAGCAATGGTGAGCTTACCACCATAATAATAATATAAATAAATAAATAAAACATGAACACAAAAAAAGTTTGGGATAACATTTTGGACGGATATATGTATTGGGAATTTGGAATGCATGTGTTAGTTCTCTATATACGTACAAATTCCTTTCCCATTCCTATAAGATACTAGATAGGAACTGCTTGTCCTTTTGCTGATATGTTCTTATAAATGGTCTTGTTTTCCACCAATATGCAAAATTGATAAAATTGCTTCGCTCAACAGAGTTAAGCAAGTGACTTTCTTTTATGATTTGTTGGTTTGCTGCAAAAGAGGAGTAAATGGGGACACAATTGAAGTCTCACATCACAGGTCAACTAGGTGGAATTTGTAAAATGAAATTCAATAGTGGTGTGTTTGTAAAATGAAATTAAATATTGACTCCCGGATGCTTTGTTTTCTGCCTTGAATTCAAAAGAAACAAAGAGGCAATTGGAATCTCGTGAGTTACTTGGGTAGATTAGATTGATTGTTGAAAGATTCCAATATTCTGTTATTTGGTCTTGTTAAATGTGCTCTTAGGCACAAAGAAAGCTTTAAAAGATTGTACATTTTTTATTGCATTAACTGTCATGCAGAATGTACAATCTTTTTAATCATCTTAACATGTAACTTAAGGACACACATTAACAAAATCCTTGAGTGATTGTCACGTTATGATCCTCATATCAAATCCCTATTACACCTTTGGAACCATTATATTTAAAGCTTGTTTAGAATGTATTCTGGCCTTGTTTATTTGCCTTCTTTCAGAGAATCCATTGTCGTATTCTTTTATTGCACAATTTTGAGCTCTAAATTTGGTGCTGCAGAGGTACAAGGCTGCTGGGCAACAAACCATTGTTCTGGCAGGAGCAGAATATGGAAGTGGCAGTTCTCGAGACTGGGCTGCTAAGGGCCCAATGCTACTGGTGAGTTGATCTCTACTTCTTAGCAATATCCAACTGTTGGTATGCTGTGGCTGATCATTCATTGTCCTTTTTCTGCTATTGTCTTTGTCAGGGAGTGAAAGCAGTGATTTCAAAGAGTTTTGAGAGAATCCATCGTAGTAACCTTGTTGGTATGGGCATTGTTCCTCTTTGTTTCAAGCCTGGTCAGGATGCAGACACTCTAGGCTTGACGGGGCATGAGTGTTACACCATTGACCTTCCAAGTAAAGCCAGTGAGATAAGGCCCGGCCAAGATATTACCGTGACTACTGACACCGGCAAGTCTTTTACATGTACACTCCGCTTCGACACAGAGGTAAGTGCCACAGTAATTCTTGAATTTTGGCTTGAATCTTTTGGGAGGAAATAATTTTTGAAAATTCAGAAGTATCGACACAGAGGTAAGTGCCAAACTAGTTTTTCGTTTTTCAAAAAAAAAAGAAAAGAAAAACTCATAAACGAGTTTTGAAAACTCATCCTATTTGATAAGAAGCTGATTTACATGACAATCTCAACTAGATTTCAAAACTTGTTTTCTGGTTTATTTTATTTTATAAGCATTAAAAAGATATTTTTGAATTTTGAAAAATTATTTCCAGCCCCAAAAAGGGAGAGAATATGAAATTATTGAGTTTTTTATTTTTTTTTTAAAAAAAAAAATTATTATGAAAATTTAACCAAACACAGAACTTTTGGTGTTTATTTTTGTCTAACTAATTTTTCAAAATTGTTTTTAGAAGACAAGTTTTAAAAACTCATCCAAACCAAAGAAATAGATTTTGATAAGCTCAATTTGATAGGAAGCTGATATACTTGATAATCCTAGCTTGCCTGTAGTTGTCCTTCTGTTTGTTTGTCTATTCATAGTGGTCCAATTTTGTGATTCATTTGATTGCACATCTGCAGGTTGAGTTGGCATATTTCGATCATGGTGGCATCCTTCCATATGTCATTCGGAATCTGATTAAGCAGTAAATTGTTGAGCTTTTGGACCAAAAGTCTCTTCTTCTCATGAGCCTGTCTTCTCCTAGGATAGATGGCAACAACAACGTGCTTCAGTGGAAACTGCCATCCATCAGAAATACACTTCCACAGATTTTTCGCTTCCTTTGTCGCAATACAGCTTGAAGTTGGTTCTTAATAAGGGAAAAATTCATTCCTTTTTTTTTTTTCTAAATAAAAAAAAAAAATTGAAGTCCCATTTCAATTGGGATGAAAGACCGATACTTTATTGCATCTTTCCTGCTCAGTTTGGCAACAGAATTGTTCCAAGTCTGGATAACTATTATGATATTATCTCTCGTATATTCAGAATTTTAGTTGTATTGATCAATGGTTAGCCAGTGGTTGTGGACCGGAGGGCACATTAACTTTCTTCGGACCACCGTTTTTGTTATCTTTTGTGACTCTCTTTGGGCGTGAAGTTTGTGCCTTGAAACATTCCTTTGTTGGGTAGGGATGGTGTGGCATGTCTGTCGATTTAAAACACTTTGTTACAGGGTGTGGTTCTGGAGTTTTGGGAGATGATTTTTCAACCATGGCAGATAATTTTATGCTAGTGTATTGTATGGCAATATTCCTTGTTTGGTTTAACTTTGAGTTGGTTATAGTTTATTTTTTGTTTATTACTTTTATGTTTTTGTGTGTAAAATATAGCAACTTTACTTAAAGTTAAAAATATATATATATATATATATATTGAAATTTTATAATTTTGGTATAATTATATTGATCTTTATATTATTTAGGTTAAAGAGATTAAAATTAATATAAATAATATGAAAATGTAGAAATAAGTAAGGTAGAATATATATTTTAGTGTAAAAGGGATAATTTTATTTTTTATTTACATTATTGATGAATTATTGATAATAAAAAAAATTGGCATTTAGATCATAAATTTAATTTTAAATTTTATTTGGCCAAAGGGCTAATTTTTTGTTCAAAATAACAAAAACATACCTATATATATATACTATTACATACAAGCAGTGAAGGACAGAAAAACACTCTTCTCTTCTCTTTCTTTCGTCCTCTTCAAACCCTAACACTCTCTCCTTTGTCGCTGCTCCTCCGTCATTGCCGCCCTCTTCTGCCACAAGATCCAGATTTGTAGCTTCACCACCGTTGGCCAGATCTATTGGTCCGCGCTCTTCCTAATCCTCCTGTCAGCCAGATCTCCTTGTCTTTTAATAGATCTGAACCACATCGCACTACTGCTGACGATCTCGCTGCTGTGGTGCTTGGATTAGCGATGGTGGAAGTTTGAGATGCGACGACGGAAGCTATGAGGAGAGAGAGAGAGAGACGAGTGATGGTGATGAAGAACATACTCAAAATCCCACACAAATCCTGATTTTCCTAGGAAAGGGTCTAAGGCTAAAACAAATAGTGTGTGCATAAATTTTTTTTTTTATTTTTTATTTTTTTTCTCTCTTCGCATCTATATGGGAATATATTCTAGTGCATGTTCTTTATTCTGGTCAGTGTTCTTAGTATAATGTTGTTTGTGGCTTTATATTTTTTCAGAATGTAAAGGCTTATTTAAGAAGAGGCATAGCTCGAGAGATGCTTGGCTATTATAAAGAGGCGATTGAAGGTGTGATGTCCCGAGTCCTAAACTTGACCAGTATTGTGTAGTCAAGTGGTTTGTTTTACTTTCGGCATTTTCATTTTCGTATTTGGTTGTTGAGATTTCAATTCCGCTCTTATTTAACCTCTCTTAACGATTTTGGGTTAGAATTTTGAGTATTGGGCATTGGAACTTGTATCGAGTTGTGTAATCAAATTTTTGGCCTTGGCTAGCAAATCCACTGCAGATTTGGTAGCCGCTCAAGCAGAATCACTCAGGGATTTTTGGGAATTTTGGGCACAAAATTGCTCGTGCGAATTTGGTTAAAATTCTAAATTTTTCTCTGACTTAGACCGTTCATGAGAGGCATGTGAATTCGCTTATAAGGATTTAGATTTCCGCTTGTACGGAATTTGAACTGCTCGTGCTGTTTTCGACGTGCCTGTCTCGAATTTTGAGCTATTTTTTTCAAATTTGATGTCAAAAACGTGTTTTACACACTTTTTCATATATATTCATCGTTTCTACTCAATCTCTCTACAAACCCACCCAAACTCAAATTTCTCTCTAAAATTTATCAAAAACTATTAAGATTTTGATAGGACTTTTTACACCAAATTGAAGAGGGCGATGAGGGTTACGTTTGCATCGATCAAATCAAGATTTCATCAACGCTAGATTTTAGGGTTCTTCTCTTCTTTCTCTCCCAAGCTTGAGATAGAGACATTCTTAAAGTTATCTATATATATATATATGTTTGCAAGTCTATACTTGTTTGGAACCTTTCTCTCATATTTTGAACTATGATTTTGGGTTTATGAGCTCTAGATGATTTGAACGTGGATTTTTTCTATATTTCCCAAAATTTTGAAAGTATGAGCTATGTTGTTAAGTATGAGTGTTGTTTTTGAAAAATCCTTTCAAAAATGGAAAAAATCTAATTTTTGGTGGAAACTGCGACAACCCTCACCTCTGATTAGTGCTAATCTGTGAATCTGTGATTAAGCATGATAAGAAATTAATTAAGTTGAAATCCTTAAATTGTTGTGTGAGTGTGTTGATTTGAATGCATTTCTATCTGTTTGTTACTGAATAATCTGTTCGTGTCTTAATTTTGAACTGCGAATTGAGAGTTTTATCGGCGCCTAATTCAGAAATTGATTAGTGTTATATGATAATTAGAATTTATGTGATTTTATGGTAGGTTTAATCAAAATTCAATTTGGAATGATTAAATTAGAATAAATAATGTTAAATTGCATTTACTTGAGTTTATTACATAATTGCCATTAGTGGACATGTTCTAGGCCATTAGTTAGATTTCATGTTTGGCATCATTTCTTCATCTATCTCCTAGACCAAAAACATGTGTAAGAGAGAGACTTAGGGGAGAATTGATTCAACAAGAGTTGGCTTGGCATTTAGAAGAAATTGAAAGAGATTTGGGAAATTAGACTTCCATACTTGGAATTCAAGACTTAAGGTAGAAAATTCACCCTCTTAATTATGAATTTGAGTTATTACATGCATTATTCATGAAAGTTTCATTGAAATTAGGTTCAATTGGTGATTAAAGTCAAGAATTAGCTTAAAGTGTTGATTTGAGAGTGAATTCATGCATGCATGTCCATATCATAGAATTTTGAGGTTGCTTTCCATGAAATCCTCACATGCATGTTCATATTTTAGTTGTGGTCCATGAATTCACCATGTTCTTGAGCTCAATCTTGCATTTGGTCATGTTTGGGGGCATTAGAGTTCATGAGAACTCATGCATGTTATATACTTGCATTGTTCTTCAAGTGTTTTTGAAATTGGTGCTCAATTGGCTTACCTTTGGGCTTTGATTTTGTAAAATGATCTTCAAAACATATTGTATTATGGGTTTCCAAGTGTTTTCCAGAAATTGGCCCAAAAAAATTAAGTTTTGATGTGTTTAATGCTTGGGTTGAGTTTAGGGAGCAAATCTGGAAAACCCAAAATTTGGTTTCCATGCTCGAACGAAGGATTCCACGCTCGAGCGAGCACTTTTGTTTTCAGACTCTCGCTCGAGCGACGGAATGCTGGCTCGAGCGTAGATTGCAAGCTTTCAGGTTTTTGTGGACGCAGACGCACGTTCGAGCGACGAGACCTACGCTCGAGCGAAGAACTGGGTCTCACGCTCGAGCGAACATCGAGCGGAGAATTTCAGCAACCAGTACTTTTGACATTTTTGCAGACCGCTAGAGCGAAGGAGTTTACGGTCAAGCGACCCCTCTGTTTTGGTAAGCTCGCTCGAGCGAAAAAAGCCACGCTCGAGCGAGACCCCTGTTTTCAGCAAATTTTGAAAAGTGTTTGAAAGTACATTTTTGCATCCTCATTCCATCCTAGGTATTCCTAGGCCATATTTAAGGCATCTTAATGAAGATAATGTTATAGAACCACACCAAGTCAAGATAGAGGCTAAGCTATTAATCCCGAATGTGTAATTTAGTGTGTGTTCGTTCTGCAACTGTGTAGGGTTGTGTGGTTTCCATGCTCGAACGAAGGATTCCACGCTCGAGCGAGCACTTTTGTTTTCAGACTCTCGCTCGAGCGACGGAATGCTGGCTCGAGCGTAGATTGCAAGCTTTCAGGTTTTTGTGGACGCAGACGCACGTTCGAGCGACGAGACCTACGCTCGAGCGAAGAACTGGGTCTCACGCTCGAGCGAACATCGAGCGGAGAATTTCAGCAACCAGTACTTTTGACATTTTTGCAGACCGCTAGAGCGAAGGAGTTTACACTCAAGCGACCCCTTTGTTTTGGTAAGCTCGCTCGAGCAAAAAAAACCACGCTCGAGCGAGACCCTTGTTTTCAGCAAATTTTGAAAAGTGTTTTAAAGTACAATTTTTCATCTTCATTCCATCCTAGGCATTTCTAAGTCATGTTTAAGGCATCTTAATGAGGATAATGTTATAGAACCACACCAAGTCAATATAGGGGCTAAGTTATTAATTCCGAATGTGTAATTTAGTGTGTGTTCGTTCTGTAACTGTGTAGGGTTGGCACCCGAGGACGCTGATTAGCTTGCTTGTAGCTCAGAAATCTGTGAGTAACAATGTTGTAAAGATATGTTCAGTTATAATTATCTTCTGAACGATTGACTGTACTACTTTCTGAAATGACATGGTTTACTAAATGAATGTCTGTCTTATTTGTAAACTGTACTCGTGGCATCCATAGCAGCCTACTGTTACTGTTACAGAGATCTCCGTCAGTTCCAATGCTTGGAACTACTACTGTTTATTGTTCTAATGGCCATCGACTGACTGTTCGGCCTGTTAAGACCTACTATTTACTGTACTGTTTTGCTATGGGATGTACCACGTATGATTATGATTTCTAATTAACTGATATGTCATGAACTATGAGCCATTGATTGAATAACTAATCTACTGATGCAAATGACTGTTTTAATTACCGAAGGGACATTCATTTTTAACCTCGTTACACAGTTGTTATTCACTGGATTTTAGCTCACTGGTTATATTTATATGTAGGTGTTTAGGCACCGGGTCGGAGGTAAGAGCGTCAAGTTAAGCTCATGTTTTGCCAAGCCAACCCTTGTGCCTCACTTCGAGGTTCCGAATCCATTCAAGCTAAGGCTGCTTTGGGGTGTTCCAGATTCACCCTTCTGTCTCCGTTTTGTAATGAATGTTTAAGACTTTTTGATTGTACAGTTATGGTAAAGGGACTAGGTCCCTAACCTGTATGCTAAGTGTTTATGATATGTGCATATATATATATGGTTGGATGTGGTTGTCCATAAAAGTCTTTTTCCATTCAGATTTTCACAGCTCATTGGACATATTTTATTTACTGTTTGGCTTTCGCCAACCCCTTACTCTGTACTATTGTTAATACTGTTAAGCAAGCCTTTGGTAATCACAGGTTACTGGCCGGTTACGATGCTAAACCCTTAGGGGCGAGTTTGGGTCGTGACAGAAACCCTAGAAATTTGGGGATTTTGGGAAAAATGTTGAGTTATTATGAAATTCGT